ACCTGTGCTTTCTCCTCACCGACGCGAATACGTTAGATCAGAACCCGAAATGTTTCTGAAACGTTCTGCCTCTCAAAATCACCCCTGTTATATATCCGACATCAAAGGCATCTATGTTCAATAAAATCGCTTGTTTTTCTCACAATCGCTGGACGATTTATTTATTTCCATATAAAAATATTACGCATAAACTGCACGCAAAATATTTATTATCGCCGTGCTGTTGTGTTAGTTAACAAAGTTATCAATCTATAGGCAGTCTTTGTAGCCTTCTTGTCATTCGCTCGGTTATGTTATCTGTTACATATATGGACAATTTATAAATATGGATATTTAATGCTATCGTGCGTTGCCTGCACGTTGATATCTATCAGTGATCAAGACTTACTCCCGTTCCTACGCCACTGACAAGCGCGTATTCAATTCGCGCATAGAACGTGCGCGTTCTCGCCGCAACGCAGATACGCATACTCGGCCGCGATCGCACATATGCGTGAGCTGACCCTCACCAACACCAACGACCAACACCTGCCTCTCGTCGGCGCGAATGCATAACGCAACCAGCACGCACACGTAATACTATATCCATTTGAATATGGATGCCTTATGAAGTCACACGTATCCTCCTCCCACCTGGTCCACCCTCTATCGTTCCTCCCTCTCTCTTTTTTACGCCTTTCTTTTTCCGTAGTCCTATCTCTCTCTCTCTTTTTCCCTCTCTCTCTCCTCTCTTTCTCTCTGTGTTCAGTCGTGTTTTTTACCCATGCACGAGCGCGGGTGGAGCACGTGCAACGGGAAACAAAGAGTGCCTCGCAAAGAAAAGAGGTGACGCGAGAGGTGACCGCGAGAGAAAGAGAAGGTGAAGCGGTTTATGAGGTGAAGAGAAAAATGATGTTGCAGGAGGAAGAGCGCAGATGCTGGATGAGAGCATGCGAAATGGTTTCCGACGGTTGAGCGTTGAGGGAGAATATACAATCTGAAGCGAAGGTGAAAATACGTGGAGATTGTTGATAAACAATGGAAAGGCTTGGATTGAAAACTTGATCGAAAAGTAAAATCGCGATAATTCAGTCTCTCTGCGATTTACTTGATTCCGAGACTCGCGAATTACTCATAACGCCTTTACATTAATTAGCATTAAATTGCTTCTCATGTAATTTGCAAATATATTTTAATACAAATTTAAATTTAAGAGAAGCGGGATTTATGACTCGGTAAATGAATCGCAATGAAACGGCGATTCGAGCGACGTTCGAACGGGTGGCCTCGATTAATCCGTCGCGAATCACCGATCAAGGATCTAAGAAGCGAGTCCAACCGCACGTAATAAATATCATTTGTCTCGCTTTCGATTCTGCGCTGGATGGAACGTTTGTCCGTAACGAGCGGCTGACTATTCGAGTCCGATACGTACGTCTCCTTGCATAAACGATCACTGTCGTAACAAAGGCATCTGCGATATAAATTCGATCGTGGCCCTCGAACTTTACCGCGCGCACTTACATCGACAGAAAATCCGAATTTGCTTGCGCGCCGATCTCTCATGCGCGAGGATCTCATGTGAGAATCTCATTTGGGGCCGTTCGATTGAATCTCGATGTTTTACAGTGTCGCTCATAATTGTTCCGGGCAGAATCCCGCGCGGAAATAGAATCGACGCGAACGAACCGCACGATTGGATCCTTTGATCTGGCAGCAACGAGTCGCGGCGATAACCGTAACCCCTGGTGGAAGCTGTTGCTCGTATTCGTCGTTTCTACAACGACGCGCGACACGGCAGCGCGCGGCGCGGTCTTTTACGATTTTCCAGGATGAAAATAAACGCGCGCTCGCACCGACACGAGACGCGACGCGTCGTGGCCGCGGCGCGGCGGACGGCCCGCGTCGCGGTTCGCCGCGATATTTCTGCATCACGCGCGCGCGCACCGTGATTCGAGAGCCAAGAACTTCGGGTGAGCCGTCGACAATAAGCGTAGTCGCCGCGAGTTGCAGCCAGTTCTCGTTAAAATAACGAGTCCTTACGATTCGAGAAGCTCGTACGGCGCTCATACGCGCGTAATTATTACGGGAAACGATGCAGCGGCACATTTCGGTTATTCTTGTTTCTTTCAGTAAGTTTCGGCGCCATTTTCGCTATACGTTAAAGTATTCACAAATAGTAGCACCGCGGTAAATGGTATCCCTATTTTATCAAAGCACCGGTCTACGTAATTTGTGAGATTATACAATATTACTTATCATTATGAAGAATATTACAGACGATTATCGTATTATTGATAAAAGAATTTTACACAAGGAAGTTATCTACAACCTTATATAAATATAAAATTTATCAATGATAGTCAGTCGAGTCGATTAGATTTCTCGAGTCGATTAGATTTCTTAACTAGAATTCTTAATTGTTTATTAGTTTCTGGCGAAGTAAATGTTTCCTATTCGATATAAAATTTATATAAACAACGTGCTACGCAATGAAGCAAGTTTTTACGCGACTTTTGCATCAATCGAAACAAACACGTAACTTCCCTAAATGATTTCACCCTCATCCGGAACAAGTTGTTTTCTTTGAATCCGAACGCGCTAACTCGGTGGGATAGAGCAAGAGGAAATGAAAAAAAAAAGCTGGATGAAAAGCAGCCGATCCTGGGTCGAAAAGGACGAAGGAGCAGGGCGGAGCTGCGCCCGGAAGGGTGCGCGGGCGCGTTTCGCGCCGAACGACCGTTCGTGGGGTCGGAGGTCGCGTTCAGGTGCGACGAAGACGGAAAGGAGGGAACGCTTAGTCGAGCAAACGCACCCAGAAATGCAAAGTCGAAGTGCTGGCGTGAAGCGAGTTGCCCGCCGGGGTTCGACGTCGTCGCGACGTGACTCCACCCGGGTAGTTTCCCCGATCTTCCTTCTGCTTGTTTAATCTGTTTTCGTGGATCGCGCGGTCGAGAAGTAAGTCGCTTGACCGGTGGTCGACGCACGATCCGAGATATCAATGATAAATCGACGAGGATCACTCGACAACTGACCAGGTGTGCTGTACGTCATACGAAATCAGTGTTGCGTTCGCGCCGTAAACAATAAATGTAACGTTTTGGGCATCGACTGGAATATCAATCGATACTGCCCGCTGCCACGTGTTCGCCGACAGCGTGGTTGTCTTTGGGGTGTAGCCACGTGTAAATTAGCAACTGCGAGAATGACTTCGATATTGGAGTATAAACGGCTACAAAAGAAATCGCGGAATAACGTATATCACATTTGATTCTGAACCTTTCAGTTCTTAGACCGATTATCTAAAATATGATTTTGGAGATGTGTTAAACGATACTGCTGCTTTATATCGTTAAAGTTTTGACTTTTCGAGTGCCATGTTATTACTGAAGCGTGTGTTTGCTCGAAAAGATGATTGACAGTTATTAATTTAAATACGATGTAAAATTAATGTTAATTTAAAATGATATTACTGCTGTACTAATATAAAACTGTATTATGTATGCAATCTTTGCTCAACGATTTTCACACGTAAATTGCGTGTTGCGCTGAATTTTTCAAATGTTTATTCAAAAGATGCAATACATTATAAAAGAATTGTGATGTGTGCTGTTGATGCCAATACGTAAGTGAAGCACATGAAAGTTTTTCATTTACATTGTGGATAGAGGAAACAGCAAGTTATTAGCAAAAATTATTAATGAAAATTTGTAAAAATAATTATGCAAACATCTGTACCGTGCTCTACGAGGAAAAACGATTAGCATTGTTCCATGTTACCAAAATGTTAATAGAATTTCTCGGACGTGGCAATTCGAAACATGAATATTCGCAAGCTAAGCGATAGCTCTTTATCGAACAAGAATGTTTATAATCTGTGCACGTGGTGAATACTTCGTATCGGAGCGGTACAGACTACACGTCAGCAATCGGCAGCGATAGCGGCTGGACACGAAGGCGATCAGTAATCAGCATCGTCAGCAAATGAGAGCAGCCTGCGAACACCTGTTCCTAACGGATGCTGCCGTTCGTTCGAGCAGACGTAAGAAGAGATGCAACGAAATTAGATACTACACGGACATATCGAGAAATCGAGCGATACGATATATGATACTTTTATTAAACGGTACAGACTTTCGTAAAATTGAATCTACACCGCATATATGAAAGAAGTGATGGAGGTATCTTTACTACAATATCTCGACTCAATAAATCAGACTGGGCCTGATTATGGCAAATTCTTCCATCGCATGGCGCAAACGATAAAAATAAAAATAATCTTTTGCCACTTTCTTCGAAATATTCAAATTTAAGTCATTATATTAATTAGATTTTCCGTACGTTACGTTTCAAATCACGAAGGTACCATCTATTATCGACATCGATTTTAAATAACATGTCAAGTTTCATTGATGTTCAAACTCGCGAGCGCCCTAAAATCATGACAATTATCATACGGCAGACGTGAATGAAAAGTTGTATAGAGAAGTTTCCGCGAGAAGTATCGATCGAAAGCATGATACGTTATTGACGAGACTCGTAGTCAAACGGCCTCCGGCATCTTCCGCCTCCGACGAGACTGCATAAGCGACCAAGAGAGAGAGAGAGAGAGAGAGAGAGAGGCAGGTAGGACAGAAGCTCAGGAGCAAAGAGGCGAGAGGTCGCGAGAGCTGCCGTGTGCACGATTCGCACCGCGGAGGAGAGACAGCCGCTGATCATTGGTGGACAGCGGAGCCGGGTCGCCTAGGTGGTGGGGAAGCCACCAGGTCGACTCCGCAGGTGGGGAAGGCCAGGAGAAGGCGGAGGAGGAGGCGTCGTCGACGCCGCCGCGGCGGTGGTAGTGTCGCGGACAGTGGTAGTGGTACCGGTAGCGACATGAAGAGGAGGCAGAAGAGGGCGGAAGAGCAGGAGGTGTAACGTCGGAGGTGGTGTAAGGAGAGGAGAACAGGCAAACGGAGGCAGCGAAGAGGGAGGTGAGGGAGGGAGGGAGGGAGGCGGTGGAAGAGGCCTCGCGGGGGAGCTCGGCTGCGGAGAGAGGGAGAGAGCGTCGCGAGGGTGGAGGACAAGGTGGCGGAGAAGGAGGAGACGCGAAGGACAGGAGAAGCCTCCTCCGCGCTGTCGGAGGACAGATCCGACGTGCGTCAGGATCCCAGCTGGACGGACGGACGGACGGACCGACCCGACCGACCTCTCTCTCGCCGCCGTCGGATAAGCGGAGGAAGCGGAGGAAGAGGACGCGATCGGTCGCGGTCCGTACCGGAAGCCGACCGCAGCGCGGACTACCCTCTCTGACGCTACCATCGTCCGGTATGCGCCCGGTACGTGTCTGAGCGAATATTTCTCGATCGCTCTCGCCGCGATCGGTCGAGACTGACGAGAGTGAAGAAGCTGCCACTCGCGTGTCGCGACACCCGATTGACAATTCAGGAAGGGAGGGGGTGGACAGCGTGAACTGATCGACAGGATAATAAATCGGTGCATAAACTCGCATGGCTCGGAGGACCGTCAGCGACGTTCTTACAGTTAGTGTTTTGTTTTCGAGTTCGCCACCCGTCGTGCAGCGATGAGATCCAAACCGGTGGCGAGAAGACTGGCACAGGGTGAGTAGCGATTTTTATTTATCATCATCATTAGCGATAGGTATATTATGACAGATATTTTGTATTTGCCTCGAAAAATATATGTGAGGAAGATGTAAAATATTAATTATGTAATCCTAATTTTTTCTTTTTAAGAAGCTATATATTAAATATATCTTCTATTTTTATAATATTTTTTTATGTAAAATTTTGAAATTTAAAATCTGATATTCTCAAAACGTTACAATTATTCACACATTTTTCGTTTCTATTTTTCTACTTTATAAAATAATTTCTATTACGGTAAATTATTGATATTTTAATGAGATAAAAGAAATATATATAATGTATCTGTAATTTTGAGAGAAACGTTTGGTAGATCATGTAAATGGAGAACAAAATAATGTGAATAAAAGTATCTTCGCTCGTCTGAAGCAAAAGCTAATTGTATGTTTCGGCCTCAGGTGTTAATAAAGAATTTACATAAACTTGTAATCCACTTTAATTCGTAGCCAACGTTTCGACCTACTTGGTCCTCCTCAGGGCAACTATTGTTACATTCAAATAAATAAATTAATGTCTATTGGAGCTCACATAAGAAAATTATATACAAACAAATTTTAAAAGTCATCGTCGGTGGTACTAACACCTGAATACCGCTCGTAATACAAGCCGAAACATACAAAATAATGTAGTTCTATAATATTTTTCTTCGATCACTCTCTATACATTTAAAAAATAATCCATCGATATATGAGCACTGTTTTATACAGTGCTTTATAATTTTAATTACATGCAGGAAATGCTGATGGGAAAATACATGGAGGAGATTATAATTACTGTTTAAATTGCTTGACGAATAAGAGGAAATTAGAACGCTTTCAAGAAATATGTCGCGGTTTTTTAATTTCTCATATGAACTTTATGCGCCGCAAACGGTATATGACACATTTTCTCGTTACAGGTAAACAATGATTATGGAATTTTTTAAAAATAACATTCTTTTTATTTTTTTAAACGTGCATATTTTGATATTGTAATTTTAATAAACTCTTTGCTCTTTTTATGTTTGGAAGCTGCTTTCTTACAATATATTCACAATTATCTAACCCAAAATATACATTTATTTTTTGCAGACATATTTCCATTTGATTAATTATTTCTTTTCCATTATCATATTATAATGAAATGCAAAGGATCGTTATTATATATTTTTTCGTTACATTTCATTAATATTTTATAGTTGCTTTATATTGTTTTATAGATATATTTACGTTGGCAGAATTACCGAAGGTCTTAAAATTAATTTACATGTTCATAAATTATGTATACATCTGTCTTAACGAAATAAATCAAGATTAAAGTTCGTTTACTTAAAAGTTTGTTACACAAAAATAAGTTTAATTAAAATATTTATCAATTTTTATTAGTAATCCGATGCAATTGCCTGCGAATCTTCATGATCGATAACGGGAATCAGAAATGAAACTCGATTCCATCGCGCTCCTGGAAACTGCTGTACTAGAACGGAAGACATTACGAGTCTTTCCGCGGAACTTATTTAACGAGGCAATAAAAACATACCATGGCATGAGTACTATATAAAACTCATTTTCGAGACTCCGCCGCCGTTGCAAAACGAGCTTGTGTCTTAGCCAAGTCGAGACTTCGCGATATTACCTGCGATCGTTGGACAGATTTTATTTTTGACATACCAGTCGCGTGACAAACGCTGCGTATACAATGCTTTTAATTCTTTTAACGTCGACAATTGCAATTAGCTTTCTCCTAAACGTTTTAAACACGTATATCAAAGAAAGCACGGTAATAACTTTTGTACGATTGGTACACGCTTCTACTTTCAGTCGCACTGGGATTCGTGAATTTTGTAAATTATCGATTTTATCAATAAATGCTCAAATCAGGCGTAAATCTGCATAGCGAATTGACATGATCCGATTCTCGACCGGCAAGTGCGTGATATCTTACGCGTTGAACTGCCGGACGGCAGTTTGGACAGAAAATACGACGCGGGAAAATAAAATTTCGATAACAGCTTGTTGTCGCTCACATCGTTTTATTCCCCGTGTAATAATGGCCATTCGAGAGATCGGGGACGCGACCAGCCGATTGGTCGCTCGCGAGATCGACCGCGATGCGAATTTCCGATAACGGCGTCGCGAATGACGAGCGTATCATTGTCCCTGATGCCCCCCGGGTGGTGACACGACGACGACAGCGTGTGGAAGAAGAGTAGGCGGTCCTCGCGCTGGCGCACCAGCGCAAAACGGTCGGTATCATTCCTTCTTTTCCTGTCTTGTCTCTGCTCGTCCTCTCGCCCCATCCCACCTCCTCGCCAACGGAAGTCCCGCCCATCGCTGGTCGACACAATGTTTGCAATTCCTCCATTTCTCGTCTCGTGCGACGCGATTTTCAGCGAGCAAAATAAATCCCGACTTGTAACAATCACTTTTCGCAAATAAACGAAGTACGATAGACTTTTTAATACTTTGATGCCATCCATTATTCTTCTTTCTAACGTTTGATTTGATAACGTTGTATCATTTTTGAGATTTGAAATAAATCCCGCTATTACTTCATCGAAAAAAATGAAATTTTGGGAGAAAGTAAATATTGGATCAACGAGCTTGTGTTCGACAAAAATGCGAATCGATCTCTCTTTGTGCGTTGGTTAACAATGCAACATCGTTCGATCTATAAAAGATTCGCCCGCGCCAACGTGCTAACATTAATTTATTGTTACATCGTGAATGGCGCAGAATAAATTTTCAACGAATGTTTGTAACGAGATCCACTGGTATTTTCTCTCAACGCGACGGAAGGACAATGACAGTGCAGCGCATAAAGACGGAAACATCAAGCCTGCCTCTAGGCATGAACCGTTGACTTGCATTTATTTCTGGCATGTTGCTGCGCGGAATTTATTATTAACCTCGCTTCTGGCTCTCTTAGGGTGACTAGGTTTAAGAAATGGAAAGTAGAAACACGCGTACACACATACACACACACTTTTTCATCAAATCAAACATTACAGTTATTTATTACGCAAAAACATAAAATACAGTATTTTTTTAAATTATTAAGCTTCATGTCTTTTATTGTTATAAATTTTGTGAAATGTGCTCTCTCATCCCAATACTGATTTAGAATAAATTCTAAAAAAGTCTTTATTTTTATTTAACATAGATTTACAATTAAATGTTTATAATATTTTATCAATAAACACCGTAAGTTTGTACATAGCTGTACATAACACGCGAGGTAGTCTATATAGCGTTCGCGTTATAATAAACTCCCTTCCCACGGCTCGACGATTCACTGATGTAAAGGTACGTGCTCTCAACGGATCTTATAATCTATAAGACCTAAAATCCGTTAACGCTTGACTCACAAGTCGGCGAAACAATAGCCCAACCATCGAATCTTTCGTTGCATCGAGGGCAATCTTATAAAAAAAGACGCTTGTGAGAGAAAGGGAGCGAGATATACATATAAAGATGATTATTCTTAATATACAATATTGAAAATTAACAAATTAATTTTTAATGATATGTAAAATTGACATTTCATTTTACACAAACATAAATAAAAACTGAGTACATTGAGTTGCGTTAACGTTTTATATTTTAGTTCATATAATAATCGGTCTCAATATTATATTTTTACATTTTATAATATATCCACGAATATTAAATTTAAAAAATGTTATATATTTTTGTAAATAGAAGCAAAATGTACATTTTGTAAAAAAAAATGATTTTTATTTTGTTATTTTTTATCTAGCAGTAATGATTAAAAAAGAGTGTATCCGATGCATTTCAGGTTCCTCTCGTTCAAGATCAATGCGATCTATGTATGATATATGTTTCTCTCTTTCTCTCTCTCTCTCTCTCTCTCTCTTTTCCTCCCTCCCTCTTCTTCTCTCTCTTTCTGATGGCCGATGCATTGTGCTCGCGAGACAAACGGGAAATCCGTGAAACTGATAGGAAGCGGGAAGAAGAGGACCCTCTCTCCAGACCGCAGGAATAATCGCGGAATTCACCTACCTATACCGCAGGTTTGAAAGACGCATCATCCCATTGAGAGTCGCATCTAACCGCGGCACCGGAAGTCGTATCCGAGAGGAGACAAAACCAAAGAAACACAACGCACGGAATATACGTGGGAGGAGTAGGGGGTGGGAGTTCTGTTTCATCGCCGCTTTTGTCTCGCATCCTGAGAGAGAGCACGACTGAATGAGAAGTATGAATAGATCGGATGATCCCCTAAGGTAGGTCAGTCCATTCTCGTTCTGCGGGAGACTCCAGCTACCGTAGATCCCACCTCTTCTTCTTCTTCTTCTTCTTACTGTCCTCGCTGCTCTTGCCTCAGACAGATTCAATTAAGAATGCCTTCTTTCTCGATACGGTTCCTTGCGTTCCTAAAACATGAAATATTTGATATTGTTGAATTGAAATTTCTTTACCTTAATTACGTCTATGATTTGATAAAGGAGAATGGATTTAGTTAAGCATATTAATTAATCACAGAGTGTAGTCATCAATGAATCGGTGATTAATCATTCAGGAAAGAACTTTCGCCTCAACTAATTGATAATTTGAGTTTTTAGAATAATATTACAAACCGCTATCAGCCGACTTGTCACACAAGTAAAATTTCGCAACTTTTTCAACTTTTTGAAATTTATTAGAGACGTAAACTAAGCTTTCCTAACGTTAACAATTTTATTTAATAATAAGATTAAAAAACTTCTGCGCATAATACGATAAAATTACAATACTAATAGGACACATCTCAATTATTCCGTTTGAATGCCGTTGCATATCCGCATTTTTATAAAAATGTACGCAATAGTGATTAACGGTCATGCAACCGAGTTATTTCTCGAGAGCGCCTCGCGCATCAAACGAATGGGCGATGGAACAATTGATCGGCCGATCAATTGGTCACGGGCGCACGATATCTTCTCCTTTTCTATTAGAACGGACGAACTTTTACGG